GAGAGAGAGAGAGAGAGAGAGCGAGAGAGAGAGAGCGAGAGAGCGAGAGAGAGAGAGCGAGAGAGCGAGAGTGTACGCAAGTGAGAATAGAGGAATAGAAGGAAAAGAGAAAAAGAGAAATAGTGTGGTAAAAGTCGAAAAGAAAAAGTAAGATAGAGAAAGAGGAAGGGGCAAGACACAGATAAACTTGAAGAATAAGTAGCGTGAATGTGACAAACTCGTGTATAGTAGGTACTTTCATAGCTGCTACTATAGTACGTGTACGCTGCATTCTACTACTTTATACTAACGTAAATACCAACTGTTATTCAATATTTATTATACATGTTCCTCGTTTATGGTAGCGGGTAATCCTGCGCGCAACGCGACCCAATCTAAAATAACGAGTGTCATCATAAGGAACGAGGCAATTTAGTTACACCGTTAGATAACGTTAAATATAAATATAGTACGTGTCCTTCGTATGTCGATTAAGAGAAACGACTAAATGATGTCCTGGAAAGCAGTGGTACGTTTCTCACGTAAACGAAAATTGCTCTTTGTAATTGTAACAGCTACTTAGTACACGTAAATTTCACATGAATCGACCATATGAACGAATAAAGTCACATTGTTTTGAAATGGCCTTCCATCCGTCTTTTATCTAACAAAGAACAATTGTCCAATTATCTGACACTGATTTAGTTTCATTATAAAGAATTATTAAAATCTAAGGAATATAGTTTTTAAGACGTGTAAGATTTGTCTCTTTTTTTTTTTATTTATCTTCTCCACATGAGCGTGTTCTAATACACGAAGATTTTAAAATTTAATTCTTGGGTTTTATTATAATTTTAAAACTGCAGTGGGCAAATATTCTTTGTTGCAAGTGTGTATATAGAGATAAGTAATTTAATGATTATCTACAATTTTTAGTATCAGACCTGTTTTAATTGATTAAATCCTACTTGAGGGCAATTTCTCGCGATTTATAATTTTAGATGTTATATAAATTAAGAGAAAGACCATCAATTTTCGAGAAATTGTATATTAAGAAAAGTATTAAAGGAATATTTGAAAAAAAGAAGGTGAAGTGATCTTTTATTCTAGGCGCATTCCATAACGGATGCGTTCTGTACTTTTTAAAAATGTTTACTTTTTATTTATACAATTTTTAACAAGAATACACCATGTACACACTACTACTATTACATTGTGTATATTACATTTTTTAAATAATTTCCATGATATATATAATTTATTTTGTTCATATTCACTTTATACTTTTTCTGTATATAATTAATGTTTTGACATAGGGATACATTTAAATGATAATAAAGGATAATAAAATCTTATACACACGATAAAAATTAATAAATATACACTCTTACTGCTAAAATCTGATCTACAATATGTTCTTTGTGTTCTGTTTCTTGTCTTCTGTCTTTTCTGGTTTAAAGCTTAAGGGGAGATATACACCTAGCATGGTCGAAAAAATCGATTTTTTTTTTTGCATTTTCTTGATGCTTGAGGTCTCAAGAATATCTGGTTAAAATTGCAAGTCAATATCTCGATAAATAACGAAGTTACAGCCGAGAGAGTAAACCGTCTCCGAGAGCGCGCCGTACCGCCTGTTTTGCGGCCGAGCCGAGAGGCAGCGACCCTTCGAAGAGAGCGTGTCTAGACCTGTTTTACGATTCTATTGTGTTTTCGGGCGTGGTCGGGTCCAGGTATAACGGAAATATCACACGACCGTTATTCTTTGCCGGAAATTGGACGCGTTTCGTCAGTAGCTTGCCGTTCGTGCAACTGTGCGTTACAGTGAGTTTTCGTCTGTGAATACATATTCTGAGGAAAATGGATAACAGATATAAAGGTTCTCGGGAAGCTCATCAATCCGGATCTTTTCGCAAAGAT